TAGTTGATTTAAACAAACCCCCAGTCGTTGAAGTTCTTAGTTTAAAAGAACGGACGGAATTAAACATTAATATCCCCATCCCATAAAAGGTGTCTTTTTAATATCTCCGTGTTATTGATCTGAAAGGGGGATGACTATTTGAAAAAGGGTCTGAGTTGGGAAGGAATGGCAAAGGACACGAGAACACCGATATTTTCTCGAAATTTTCTAGGCGGTTGCTGAAAACAGAACTTTGACTGATATAAGGTCAAATTTTCGGTTAGAACTTCTAAACTTAGAACTTCGTCACGTCAACAGGTGGCCAAAAAAGGGTACCCACTCAATACACAGAATGACTGCTTGCTGCACTGCAAATACTTAAGTGAAAAGGGGAGCTTTCGCCATTAGGTATTCCGAACATTTTCCGCCAATTGGATAAATAACGGCCCATAACTAAATGGAACTTTCAATAACTCAGTCCATGTGTAAGAGGAATGAAGTATAAGGGAGGAAATTGCTGAGACTAATGTCATGTAAATGATAATTTTGGCAATGAGGTTAGAATCATTACATTTTCCGCATCCCTGAATTGTTTGTGTGAAAAGACTTTTATGAAGATCGAAGCCGCGACTGTAAATCTTCGCTTATCGGTGGGACCTGGTGATGGGAGAGTTTTCACTCTGATTCTTTGCTGCGTCAAACTGGTGCCTAAGCCTAAAACTCATGAAGGGAATGCGAACTAGCATGTAGCTGGTATATAGTAAACGATGGCTGCATAGGCATTTGTAGGGAGTACGACAAGCGAGCTTTGTAGGCCTTATCGTCTGCTCTTCCGACGGCGAAGCCTTGTTTTATTTTGGCAAGGAATGACGAATTTGATCGGTACGAGGAAATCGTAACCAGTCTTCGCCATCACCCTCGCGGAGTTGCATCACTGAAAAAATAGAGGTATTTTTGTAGACAACTTGCCCCGGCATTCTGTAAGAGAGAAAACAGTCAACTACGTTGAGTGGATTTTCTGAAGTCTTTTTTCTAACGACATTGCGCAATACCCTCCCCTAGTTTGTCGGGCCCGGAAAGTGGACGTGTTCTTCAACTCCACTATGCACACTATCGGTCTTGGCGAGTCTTTTACTTACTTTTAGTTCTCATACATCTTATTTTCATGCATGAAATTTGGATCGCCAGTCCGACCTGAATCGGCAAAGGGAAGCCTTGAAGCATACGTTCAAGAAGGCCCACATGAAGCTTAACAAGATAGACCACCGGGGATCTGGCATTCCTCTTTGCAGAGTTTAACTGAAATCACATATCTCACGGTCCGTGTTTAACTTTTCAAAAGGTCAAATGCAATTCACAGGTCACGGATCGACAGGTAGTAGTTATTTCGCTTTTTGATCCCACCCCTTAACCCCGTAGAAAGGACAGTCCACCTCTACACTACCCTCCATGCCGCACTCAACTATATGACTTGTCGTGTATCTTTTTGCAGTTTTTACGAACACCGTTTGAGTTTCAATGATTCTGCGTTTCTGATGCCTTTTGGAACTATTCTGTCAACCGCCCCTTCCAGTAGATAGTCCTGTGAGGAACTGAGTGTGTTCTTATCGATGACAACTATTCGGAAGTATCCCTTGTTGCGGCATCACAAGCATTAATTCCTGATGGACTGCAATTATCTGAGTGGGGTTGAAACGAAATTGCAACCTGAAACTGGTAAATCAGGAAAGCCATAAATTGCACTTCAGAATTTGCCGATATATTAGGATAGGGCGTAGACACATAAGTTAGCAATATAGATGCACCAGCAGGACTGTACATCAAGCAATTTGCACAGCCTGCATTACGCACCTATGTAAAATATCGCGATTTGAAACGTTTCCACAATTCGACACATAATATGCCCCACTTCCACCTTACGCTTCATAAAAAGATCTATACTGTTCATAAGCAGTTGCATTTGGCCGGCTTGTGCAGACTCTAATCAATTTAAATTTGTCTGTTATATTCACACTATATGACACCATATCAGAAGTGTATATACACAAAACTACCCATTAAAACGACCTTAGACGAAGTCTGAGCCCCCCATGCCGTCGGCAGAGCCTAGATCGCATCATACACAAACTGGTCAGGCAGACGTAGCAGCGGCCTCAAGTACGGATAAGATGTGCGTCAGGTCAAAGCCCACAGTATTCCTTCCTATTAACAAGTTCCGGTCAAAATTTGCCTTGTCCTTCAGACAACTTACGTACATATGGCCAGAGTGCCCCAATATTCGTTATTTTCTACACGAGAGCATGTACTTCGATGTCGTCGGACGCGGAATTACAGTCGCGCTGGGAAGACTACGAAGGCGATGAAGCATTGCCCTTTGTACATTTTTCACACCAACTCGATGTATTCATTTGACTCTTCGCAATACGCACACTCAGAACAAACCATCGCAATTCTCATCGTATACTGCACAACAAAAGTAGTAAGAAATAACAAGAGGATCAGAAATAAAGAAAAGACGACGTTTGAAGCATAACCAACGACATTCTCTCACACATGCTCGATTGCGGGCATCGTGTGGACCCCAACGAAGCCTCCCTTGTCATTTATTTGATCTCATCGAACTCTTCTAAGCCACTGGGTCAACGTCTGCTATAAGAGTAGAAGCGACGACCAGCAGGTCATGTAAGCCGGCTTTGGATGCACAGAAGAATTCCATGTAAGCTACATATTTATCATGGCCAGAAGTCGGCTAACTGCGTGTACTTCTCCGCGTCCTCCCCTCTCTCCTGGGCACGGCTCTTCCCGATCCTAACTACCTCTTTATTTCCTCTCCCTCCCTATTCCTTCACACGACTTGTGTGAAAAGACGGACTTTGATCGATTTCTCTTATCTCAAATGTTGCACTTGTACCCCGTTCCCACACAAATGTACTGGTCAGAAACGATTGATCGAAAGCAAACGCTTGCACGCTAACGAGCATTTCGAATTCTTCCGTGGGGATTCTCGCAATTCAAAAGACAGCCGTTGATCCGAAGCGGAAATGCCCCTACGGGTATGCTCGAAACAGTCGATGCCGCAAGTATGCACCCTTTCAAGCAAAGACAAATAATCATATGTCAATCTAGGGTCTGTCTCACGGAAGTCACCTTGTGACAGTCATCCCCCCTGACCAATCCCCGCATCAGCAAAATTCAACGCACATGACACCATTTTAGATTACGGCCTCATTTGCTGTGGACGATCGATACTGATGTTGATCAGACTCTACCCAGTGTTCAGATATATACGTAATTTCCATCACCGTTTGTGCTCACTAAGCCCGGCATCTCCATCGCGCGACCGTCAGCACGGCGCGTTCGACCGTTTGCGCGGGAATGCAGCCTTGACGCATTGCTATGGTGGACGCTGCTCAGTAGGACGAGATATGGGTATGCCGTGTGAACAGTGCGTGCTGACTCACGCGTGGCCATGCGTCACTCAATAGGATGCTCCTGTCTTAAGACAGTCATTTCAATAGAAGCGATGAGACGAGTCCCAGGGAGCTGTCTTGGAGTAGGGGACACAATTGCTGGAACAGGAGCTTTATTAGCCTGACGTTTCGGATTTCTGCTTGAACCCATCATCAGAGACAATAGCAGATAGGGGTGGTTCATGCACAAGGGGATGCAGTATTCATAGGATACAGTTGCCAGGACACATTGACTCCCCCCCTTCACCAGGGATCGTTGCAACTGTTGTGACGATTGTTTGATGGTCGATATTCAATTTCATCACGTGCGTTGGATCTGGGTGCGATTGATGATTGCTCGACCATCTGATCAACCGACCCTGGCGTTGGGAAAAGTGTTCACCTGTGCGCCTCCCGCGTGGCTTATACTCCGCCTAGGCGAAGTCTCAGCACGGAATATGGAACGGGAAGGTCATTGCACTTGTTAATGGACGGGTGGCCAGTAAACCATGACTCAAGCAGCTCCCGGCTCACCGGTTGTCACCTCCAGTGAGAATTTCGGCCGTGTCGAATTTGGATGTGTGGCCGGATCTCGTCGAATGAGCCGCAGCTTGAGAGCTGGCGTCATTTCTCCGCACTGCTGCAGCGTCTTCCTATCTGTAACGGTCTCTGATGATGGGTTCGAGCGAGAATCCGAAACGGCAGGCCAATAAACTCCCTGTTCCAGTGATCACACCTTCTTCTTCTTCTTCTTCTTCTTCTTCTTCTTCTTCTTCTTCTTCTTCTTCTTCTTCTTCTTCTTCTTCTTCTTCTTCTTCTTCTTAACTTTCGTTTTTTACTTGTCAACTTAATTTTTTTGATTGATAATTCCTCTCTCAAATTCCACCATAATTTTCCTTGTATAGCGGCTTTTAGCTGTCATACTAAGTTTTTGTGCTTTGTAAACTATGTAGACAAATAGATTGTCTGTGCAAACATGTAACTGAAACAAATACGGACGTCTTCCGATTTAATGCATGGGCACTGCTAACCGGTGAGCTATGCGTATGAGTAAGAACAGTATATAATGGAGTAGATTCTCATATTAAGCAAGAATAGTAATTAACAATTTGTCGGAAATGTATATTGCTTAAACCCATCATTTTTACGCCTAACTGATCATTTGTGAGCAACGTTAGCGACATTTTAAAAAATATGTTTACTAAAGTGGTATGCAAATCCAATTTTCCCAAACTAACTGCGCATTCTATGGCATTCTTGGAAAAGTCTAGTGAACTCCATGGAACAAGCAAGTACCTAACACAACCATTGAAAATAAAAGCTGTTTGTTTAAGTTAGTGACTATTTGCTGTTATACAGTCGAATTCCGATTTGCTGCCACGTTTTATGGGAGCGTCTCAAGGATCTTATTATTAAGTGGGATGCATGCCTACCAACGCATACCTAAGAATAACGTGCAATTTACCGATCAGTCATAGTTTAAGAAGCGCCTCTTTATAGCAAATGAGTCGAACAAATCATTTATACACTATTGTTGAGTCTTGCAGGCGACCGCAGTCAGCATCAGCGGTGCTAGTACACGAGTGGCAGAAAAGTGCTAACTTTCTGAACGATTGAAATGACCGAAGAAGGAGACCTGACAGCTGGGACAAGAGCTTTATCCGTTGCAACCGTCTCTGATGATGTGTTCGAGTGAGAACCCGAAAGGTCAGCCAGAAAACTTCTTGTCCCAGTGAACGCATCATCATCATCATCATCATCATCATCATCATCATCATCATCATCATCATCATCATCATCATCATCATCATCATCATCATCATCATCATCATCATCATCATCATCATCGTCATCGTCGTCGTCATCATCATCATCATCATCATCATCATCATCACCACCACCATCATCATCATCATCATCATCACCACCATCATCATCATCATCATCATCATCACCACCACCACCATCATCATCATCATCATAATCATCATCACCTTCTTTTTCTTTTTCTTCTTCTTCTTCCTCTGAACTGGTTCCTGGAACTCGCTTGTTCGCTTCTATCGGCAATAAAAGATAAATGAGAATTTAAAAGACTGCGGTAAATTAGAATGGACAGGGATTTCCCCCTACACGAATTGCTCCAACGTACAATGAACAAACAGGCGTCATGACCATAAACGAGTTTCAGTAAATGTACACCAATTGACATCAAAAGACCCTAGCACGACAACTGGAAGGCCACTATGTACGGAAAGTTACAGTGGGATATTATGGAGAACGGTGAAATTAAAAAACGAAATAAGACGAAAACTTAAAAAAATCGAAAAATTACAGCGAACAATGACTTCTTCTTACGCCAATTCCTTCCTATGTGAATTTAAAAATGATATAACCACGAGCGAAATTTAGCAAATTTATTCCGTTATAGCCTACGGGTTAAACAGTGCTGAGCCAATGGTTTATCACATCCCAACCCATTCATTCACTTACTAAATAACCTGTTTCGGACTGTGACATTGTTCTTTTCTACAGTTCGTTTCTGTGGTAGCCTTTAAATGATGCATGGGGACACCAAACACGTGGTATCTCTAATACGACTGACGCGTTCAATCTTCCCTAATGCTCGGACGCCATGGCAGTCCCCACTGCTGCAAAAGTAGGTCAACGACATTTACTAAAAGCATCTTTGCGGTTAGCCGTTTTTGAAAGGTGGAATCAAACATAAATTCTGTCAAGTTCCATCATGTACAGAGGGGAAGTTACGATCAGAATTTTCCCTTACGTCCTTTCCCATAACTCCGGAGCCCGTTGTTCAGCCAGTATCAGTCACCATATTTGGAGTGAATGACAAAAGCTCTTAAAAGTCCATTTAAACGGTACGGCATGAGAAATAGTTAATTTGCAAAAATCTTCACATGTAGTTTTAATGTGCAGAATGCATAAGACCAAGGTTGAATCATAAATGTAAAAAGGTGCGGCATTTGCGAACTAAACGCGAAAAACACGTCCACTGCATTATACTGCGAAATTTTCACCTGGATCAGAGTTAACTTACGCAAAACGATCTCACGAATGGAAAAGAATATGCGCAGAAGATGAAGATGCGATCACTGGGACAAGAAGTTTATTGGCCTGACGTTTCGGGTTCTCACTCGAGCCCATCATCAGAGACATTCGCAGATAGAGGTAAAGGTGGCACCAGGAATGCAGTATTTATAGCACGTGGCTGCCGTGGGACCGTATGCGCACTGCAATTAACAGTTCTCACAATCGCCGCTGGGGTCGTAATTGATGCGGCGGTGGCTTGGCGGTCCGAGTCCGAGTTGTTAATTGCCGCGATTTCGTCATCCGTGCTCGATGCTGGTGTGACGATTGCTCGGCAAACTGGCTCACTGTCACCGTGATAATTGCTCACCCGCGCCCTCCCCACGTGACTGATTCTCCTGCCCAGGGAAAATCGCAAAACGGAATAGGCCACCGGGAGGTCATTGTGTTTGTTGATGGATTGCGGGCCTGAGAACCATGACTCGAGCAGCTCGCGGCTCACGCGGTTGTCACCCCTTGCGAGGATTTCGGCCTCTTGAAATTTGAAATTATGGCCGGGTCCCGTCGAGTGTGCCGCCACCTGAGAGTTAGCGTCTCCCCGCCTCACTGCTGCTGCGTGCTCGGCAAGTCGCGTACGGAGTAATCTCCCAGTTTCTCCGACATAATTGCTTTGTCCGCAACTACACCAGATCCGGTAAACGACTCCAGACGTTTCCTGCCGTGGCAGCGGGTCTTTTGGCCTCATTACTTGGCGCCTAATGGTTGCTTCCGGCCTGTGTGCAACACCAACTCCAAGTGGAGTGGAGCAATCGTCACACCAGCATCGAGCACGGATGACGAAATCGCGGCAATTAACAACTCGGACTCGGACCGCCAAGCCACCGCCGCATCAATTACGACCCCAGCGGCGATTGTGAGAACTGTTAATTGCAGTGCGCATACGGTCCCACGGCAGCCACGTGCTATAAATACTGCATTCCTGGTGCCACCTTTACCTCTATCTGCGAATGTCTCTGATGATGGGCTCGAGTGAGAACCCGAAACGTCAGGCCAATAAACTTCTTGTCCCAGTGATCGCATCTTCATCTTCTGAACTGCTACCTGGGACTCGCCTGTTCGCTTCTATCAGAATATGCGCATCCCAATTTCTTGTTTTCGTCTTATTTTAAACAAAACTGTCTATTAAAATCCTGTTAGTAGTATAATAATAGTAATTTAAGTAATCCATGGGATGGTGCTCGGTGAGTTCGGGTTGCCCTTTAACAGGTGATTATCCCCGGTGCCGACGAGTGGACCAGACATGGCTTCGTCATTTCCAAGATATCGATCCACCTACAGCCACGCAGGAGACATCAAGGTATGCGATCGCCAGGTAAGTCGAATAGTGATTTGTTGAATATACCTGCTTGGCGTCTCCATTTCAACCAGGAGCTAGCTCAACGGCTAGCCAGCCTTCCAGTCGCCGCCGGCTCTGTCGCCGGCGAGAACGACTCAGTGGAGAACTGATGGCGCTAACTAAAGGGGACGATCCAGTCAACCGCCCTGGCTGTTCTTGGTCGCGCACTCCATCAACATCAAGACTGGTTAGACCACAATGACGCCGCCATAAGCAAATTGCTCGCCGAGAATAACTGTTTGCACAAAGCCTACGGCAATTGCCCTACCGACGAAAACAGAACAGCCTTCTACCGTAGTCACCGCCTTGTGCAGCAGCGGCCGCTTGAGATGTAGGAGGCCTGGACGACTCGCAAGGCCGAGGAGATCCAAGGGTGCGCAGACCGCAACGAATGGAAGGACTTCTTTGCTGCAATCAAGGCCGTCTACAGTCTCACGGCCAAAAGAACCGCTCATATTCCCAGAGCCGACAAAACCACGCTCCTCACAGAGAAGACGCAAATTCTGCTGCGATGGGCCGAACACTTAGGAGGCGTCCTCAACCGTCCCTCCACCATTTCCGACGCTGCCATCCAGCGGGAAAGCACGCAGATCGGACGCAATCCCTGCTGAGATTTACAAATACGGCGACTCATAACTCAGAAATCACCTGACAACGTTTTTCCAGAAGATGTGGCGTCAAGAAAAAGTCCCTTGGGACTTCAAGGACATCATAATCGTTCATGTCTATAAGCGGAAATGGAACTGCCAACTCTGCGACAACCACAGAGGTATCTCCCTGCTCAATATCGCCGGAAAAATCTTCGCTCGCATTCCCTCAACCGTCCCAAAAACCATTTGTAACAAGGTCTCCTGCCGGAAAGCCAGTGCGGCTTCCACCGTCATCGCGGGACCACGGATATGATCTTCTCTGCCCGTAAACTACAGAAGTGTCAGGAGATGCGGACCAACCTCTACTCTAACTTTGTGGATCTGACGAAAGCCTTTGACACGGTGAATCGTGACGGACTGTGGGAAACCATGCAGAAATTAGACTGTTCCGAGCGATTCATTCGGATGTTGTGTCAGCTCCACGATGCCATGATGGCGCGCGTCTCAGAGGCATTTACGGTGACCAATGGAGTGAAGCAGGGATGCACCCTTGCGCCCATTCTCTTCGGTCTCATGTTCTCTTCCATGCTGATGGACGCCTACCATGACGAACGCCCGGGGATCCGCCTCGCCTACAAGACGGACGGTAAACTCTTTAATCAGCGGCGGATGCACTTCCAGTGGCGTGTGTCCGCAACTTCCGTCCATGAACTTCACTTTGCCAACGACTGCGCTCTCAACGCTACCTCTGGAATGGACATGGAAGGGAGCACGGACCTCTTCGCCGAGGCCTGCGACAACTTCGGCTCAGTCATCAACACTGAAAAGACAGTGGTTATGCATCAACTGCCACCCAACCTTGCCTACACCGCACCCCAAACCAACATGAACTGCGCCCAATTGCCATCTGAGGGCACCTTCACCTATCTGGACAGCACCTTTTTTTGCAGTACGAAAATCAATGATGAAGTAGCTCGTCGGGCTTCCAAAGCCAGCGAAGCCTTCGGCCGTCTGCAAAACGTCGTCTGGAATCGACATGGCCTCCACTTCAGCAGCAAACTGAAGATGTACAAAGCGGTCATCCTGCCAACACTGCTATATGGAACGGAGAACTGGATGGACACGAAGACTCAGCCACTCCCACGTCAGTTGTCTTCGTCGAATACTGAAGCTGAGGTGGTAAGACCGGACCCCGGACATAGACTCACTGGAACGGACAGGAATCCACAGGATCCAAGTCATAATGAGACAATTGCTTTTGCGCTGGAGCGGCCACCTCGTACGAATGGACGACGAGCGGCTACCTAAACCAGTCTTCTATGAAGATGCCGCCACGGGTTAGATCCGGCGCTATAAGGACACTGTGAAGACTTCCTTGAAGCGTCTGCGGAGTAACCCCGCCAAATGGGAAGATATAGCCTAGAACCGATCTGCCCGGAGGAGGACAGTGAAGACAGGGGCAACAGTCTACGAAACAAACCGTGTCGCCGCCGCCAAAGCCAAACGTGAAGTTCGCAAATCTCAATTGCCCACACCTCGTGGCGCCGACGCTCAACCGTTCCCGATATTTCCACGATGTCATCGAACGTTCCAGGCACTAATTGCTCTTATCGGACATCTTCCTACCAACTGCAGCAACCCGACGACATCACAAGATGTCCCCACTCACCTCTGCCTCGTTTCCCACGTCGGCAATCAACCCTAACCGCGTTCCTGATCTGCGTTGCTTTCCTCCACTGCTCTTGCCCCCACCACTGCTGTACACAATCCTGTCGCACCGTCAAACATCAACCTCACCGTCCCCAACACCAGGATGTGGACTCGGTCAAACCTGTCCTAGTTGCGATCGTACCCTCACCTTTCACATCGGTCTGGTCGGGCACTCGGGAAATTATCGAACAGAGACTGGTGAAGCAGTTCCTGGAGCACCCATCTACACTCATCGCATCCGCGATGTGCGGGAGCACATCCACTGACCGCATGAGCCTACTAGGTCACATGTGTACCCACGAGAGCGGAACTGATCGCAGTATCGGAATCTCTAGCACATCTTTCACATCCACCGTGCCTAGCCCACTCAACATCCCCTGGCCTAACGATCCCACCACCGGCAACTCCATTAACACCACCGCCGAAATCGACAACGACACTGCCAATCTCTCTTGCCCACCCTGTCTCCGCACATTCACCTCATCCATTGGCCTTGTCGGCCACTTGCGAATCCAATGCACAGAGACTGGCGAACCAGTTCCTGGAGCACCAACCTACACTCACCGCGTCCGCCTCCACTGCTCTCACTTTCCTCGTATATTCAGCCACCCCATGAATATATTAGGCCACATGCGCATTGACGAAAACCTGCGGTAGACAACCGTCGACTACACCACATCATCACAACTAACCCCCACCAATAACTGCACCACGTAACAATATCGCTGACCGCAAGAACTCATTTGCTTCCCGATCCCTTCTCCATGTGGCTCTTCTGCTGCATGTGTGGTCCGAGTTTGAGACTTTAACGAAGCGCAGAGCGCCCTGTCTTGGAAGGCTGCCAGCTGACGTCTCAACTCAGTCCGCACACCCTTTCCAGATGTGTATGTTTTGTGGAGTGGGGAATGGTGAGCTAAGGTTCCTTCTCGACGTGACCTCCAGCACTCACACGCATGCGAGGAGTGTGTGTACAGTGCGTGACCTATCTCATGAAATGTTGGCTGAAATTCTGAAATGCGTTTTCGATTAGGAAGGATTACTTGGTCTCGGTTGTGAGAATGATTATTATAAAGCATACTCTTATAACATTTTGGACTTGGCAGGATGTCGGCTTTTAAATGCACTTCTTTTCAATCTCCTGTATAAAGCGTGCTCGGTAAAAAATGACTACTTATGTAGCATGCATTTTCCCATTGATTTTCGATGGTCTTGGAAATTCAAATATATTTTATAGAAACCACAAACAAAAATATACTTTCTTTTAGTCAATCAATAGAGAATCACGTCTTCTTTATATTTATACTTAAGGAAGGAGTATAATTAGGTTTTAAAAAGTTTTCTTATTGCCGAAAAATTTGGAGCCTGATCATTCGTTGCATTAGCGCTTAGTGATTTCACTCTACAAGGTGCCTGCGTTCCGCTTAAAGAAAATCCCATATTTTGCTATGTCATTGAAGAGATATTATACAGGGTTCATAAAATTTTGCAATTGATGCGACCATGTTGTACATTTCATGAGGAGCAGTGATAAACGGCCAGGTACGATACTATGTGAATGGACATATCGCGGTCTTAAAAAGTCTCATAATTAGAAACTTTTTTAAAACCTAATTATACTCCTTCCTTAAGTATAAAATATAAAGAAGACGTGATTCTCTATTGATTGACTAAAAGAAAGTATATTTTTGTTTGTGGTTTCTATAAAATATATTTGAATTTCCAAGACCATCGAAAATCAATGGGAAAATGCATGCTACATAAGTAGTCATTTTTTACCGAGCACGCTTTATACAGGAGATTGAAAAGAAGTGCATTTAAAAGCCGACATCCTGCCAAGTCCAAAATGTTATAAGAGTATGCCTTATAATAATCATTATCACAACCGCGGCCAAGTAATCCTTTCTAGTCGAAAACGCATTTCAGAATTTCAGCCAACATTTCATGAGATAGGTCACACACTGTATTCTATGGGTAGTATCTCTCATTCAATGACTGACTGGTTACCCAGCCTTTAAAGGGTGATGTCCAAGGCAAATGCAGGGCTGCGTGTCACCCTCTGGGGCCTCAAGGATTGTAAGTGTCTGATATGCCAGGACCAGTAGACCATGACCCTCGCAGTCTGCTGCGCGTTGGCAGTTCTATGGCACCTGGTTACCTGCCGGTAGATGCGTTTGCACTCCCTTTGGGTATACCGATCGTGTGCATAACTTCCCACTTATCCTCGTCCTTCTAACCCGTTGTGGTGCTTTTCTTGTTGGACAAATCCTGGTTAATTGCTTGTAGTGGGCCAGGGGTGAAATGGTACGCCTAGGGGCGGATCCGGTCGTGAAAACCACCTGTACCCTCCCTCACCTCCAGTCTTCTTCATCGTGTCTTGACAACGGGTCCAGGTGAAGAGGGGAGGAGTGCGGTAGACGCTGCGCAACTCTATGCTCACAATAAACCAATTCACACGCAAGTCACCGTGCCCACTTCACCTTGCTGTGTAGCACATGGTGGACATCGTCAGGCACGAAATTCAAACTGTCGCTGATTATCCAGATGTCTCATGAACACACTCATAATACAGGAATTTACGACATACGTCGGTAAAGAATTCTATTGGCGAATGACTCCCGGCGAGAAAAATGGGGAGCGTCTATTGATGTGCACAATTCCTTTTTAAGCTGGAAGTCGTTTCGTCTGATATTAGTCTTTGGAGCCATTTCAAAAGAGTTTCCCAGATGGCATCTAGATCAAGTCCTCTTAGCAACTGAACCGTTGTTATAAGGTCATCTCTGTCCTGTCTGTAGTGGAGGGTATGGGGATTCAAGGCGGTCAGGCGCTGCTAGTGCGTAGAATTTTTGAGCTCATGAACTGCCTTCGTAGCAAGTCTCTGTACACCATCAAGAACGTTTATATCTTTCTGAAGCCACGGTAGCCATGCCCACAACGCAGGTTCAGGGTGCGATCGCACAAATGCTCCATATACCTTACCGAAGATGTCTGCATTCCAGTTAACAAGTGTTCTTCGAATCGCGCTCATAATTGACATTGCCTGCGCTGCGACTTTAAAGCACTAGGTGGTGACGTTTAAGTCGCATTTAATTAATACGTCAAGGTCTTTCTGCACATCTACGATCTCAAGTGGTTGATTGTTAAGGAGTTACTGTCGTAAGGATGCATTTATTCTTCTCCTTGCTGATATTATGTGCATTAGCATACATTTTTGATGTTGAATTTCATGCACCAGTTCTCTATTCATGGTGCAGATTCTCCTAGTTCTTCTGTAATATCTGGGTGTTTTTCCATCTTTTATTACTTCTGACAGCTTAAGACCATCTGCAAAGAGTGCTTTATCCGATTTCACTTCCTTTTCTGGGTCGTTTACATAGATGGTGAATAGGAACGGCCCGGAAACTGGCCCTTGTGGGACTCCACCCTTACCAGGAACCCTTTCTGAACAGTATCCACCTTCTTTTCTACGATCGTTGCTGGTCCCAGTCAAGTGGACAATGACTTCCAAACAAACACGGTCAGAGCCTGACCACACAGGATTCTCATATGTTTAATTTAACTTTGATAAACCCGAATGATAATCCTACCAGACTATTAAAAAAAGAAGATTCATATTATTTTCCGTAGAACTCGTTGTATCCTGTCATGGTATATGGAGTTACTGGATTCCCGTTCAATACGGTTGTGGACACTGAGTCGAGGCCTGCGTGTGGCAAAATTCTGTGTCCATCTGGCAGTGAAACATTTTTAATGTGTTAATTAGTGACTAGAGCTGACTAATCCTTCAGTCGCAGAGTCTTGCAAAGCCCTTAAAGTTAAATCATTGCATTAAATTATCTAATGCAACATCCTTTTGATAATACTGTCAACCGCTGATTTTGTAAGCGTGATGGTGCCGCAGAGTTTGAGGCCGTAATATGCAACTAATCAGTTATTTCAGGGTGCCCTATAGTGTGACTGGGTGGTTGTGAAATTAGTGTCCAATGGAAGTAATCGCTGCTGGGTATAATAGAGAAAAGTGGGAGAGGATATTTTTATAAACGCCAGCTTCCACTTATGCAGGTCGTTGGAACTAATAGAGTTGAGGTCCAAGCCACTGAAGAGCCACTCAGACGAAGGTTACGCGCCAAAAGGGGTTTATTTCAATCATTCCGGCGAACTGCGGAACTCAACATAAACACGCCTACTGATAACAAGCAAGTACGTCAACAATCTCGACTCATAATGTCTGGTTACGAACTGCGATCTTACCTGGGACCCCTCTGACACAATATCCATGGCTATCCAAAATACTGGATGAATGAATACACAGCCAGCTCTTTGGATGCTTCATGCTGACTAATAATCAAGCATATTACGTGACATCAATTCATGTTATTTTGGACAATACAGTCACTCTTCAGCTTTTGTCACTAGTCACCTCAGTCACGATACGATGTACCAAGAAACATATTTTTTCAGGAACTCCACCACAGATATACCGGCTAGTCCATCAAAAATACATCTTGATCTGACATACAGACTTGACACATTTTGTTGAGGAGTGTATTTCTTGCGTCAGGTAGGTGAGAAAACACGCGCCAAAATATCCAGATATCCCGATTAAGGAGCTGTTTTAAAAAGGTTTGAATGGCGTAGTGCACATACTAAGAAGAAAGGACCTTTCGAAAATAGGAGGGCAGTCGAAAAGAAGAAGGGAATTAAGAAGGGAAAGGTCAGTAGTAAACGAGAGTGAACTAAATGAGCTCGGTAATCTTTGGCCTTTGTAATAAACATTTTAAAATAGGTCATCTAACATACATTAACGCACAGTTGTGCTCATTCTTCGCATTTATTGGGGAAAATGTCTGTAATTGTTTAAGGAAACTACGCACCATTTCAAAAATCAGATTTCATGCATTGGTGAAAAAGTATGACCCTGTTGTGTGTCCCCTGCCATGGAGAAAGTGCTTAACCAAGAATGAGAAACTGCCAATAGAAGCAAAGAGACGAGTCCCAGGAAGCAATCCCAGTGATCGTGTCTCCTTCTTAATGAGAAACTTTTACTATCTTCGGCAACTGTCAAGGGGGCGGAAGTGAGTACCCCGCAAAAACGTGTTAGGTAAGAGAATCCCAAAAAAAGAAAACATCACTGGCCCAATTGGCTTGTGAGGGAGGTAAACTTGTAGCGGCAGTTCCAATCCCCCCTTGTCCGGCTCCATTTTGTCGGCTAATGATCGCGACCAACGTTGCCAGACTACGGACACACGACCACCCCCGCCGACCAGAACTGGGCCCCCTCCTGTCCAAATGCAGTGACTCCCGGCTGCCCTCAAAAACTTTCATCCCCTCACGCGCGTCGGACGCCCTGGCTTGATACCCATGAGCCATTGTGAGTATGCGCCTCCCTATTCCTCCCCTAATCCTTCCAACCAGCCAGTCCCCCCCCCTGCTGACACAGACATTCACTCCCGCGTAAACAACACTCCGCGACTGACACTCTCCGGGAACGGACGTTTAACTCTGTCACAAGCAAACAGCCAACTCACGGCAACCTGCCCTGTGTACAGAATAAACCTGTTCTCACTGTTCCCCGACTTCTGACATAACACGGAACGAAAGTATAGTGTGTGGTTTAAGTTGATCTCACACCCTTGACCGCCACGAACTAAGAGGTAGCC